GCGGTACTTATACGACCAATGTGTTTGCAAACTTTATCTATATAGTAAATGTTTCACATCTAGCAATATTTGTTTGCGTGAACATTCTACAGAGTTAGATTTTTCCCATGGCTTCAACATGTTCATCTTCTCCGATGATCATCACCGGTGGAACACTAGTCGGTGAGTTTGAGAAGGTGTATCGGCTCGAGCTGATACAGATTATTGGTGATGGAAATTGCCTATATCGAGCCTTGTCAAAATGGTTGCATAACACGCAAGAAAGGTATGAGGAGGTCAAAGATAGGCTATTGAGACATGTGGTTGCGAACTGGAGAAATCCAGAATTCGAGTACTGGCTCGTCGCAAGAAGCGCATTCGATAGACCGTTTTTATCAGGTATCGATTATTACACACACGCCTCTAAATCTGGTGAATGGGGATCTATCAATGAGGTGAAGGCGTTTTCAGTTGTTTTTAACGTGACGGTCATTGTTTGGGTAAGAAAAACCCATTTTTGGGCATGTTTTCGGGCGCGCAACCTACCACATTTCATGGCGTACTTCATTTGAATTTTGATATCGATGCGAGCCATTATTCTCTTCTACTCCCTTCAAACAATGGAAGTTTATATGGCTCCAGATACGCGTCAGTTGAACCTGAGACAGCTACTATAGCACGAGCTAATAATGACAGTAATTCTCGTGGTGTGGGTAATAGCCTAAAGAAAGTAAAAGATAACGTAGATAACAGTAAGCAGGGAACAAGTAGTTCGTGCAATAAAAGGCGAGATCATCATGATGACGCAGAAACTACCATCGCTAGCAGTCGCACTTGTCATCACACGCAACCAATCCGTGCTACATCAAATGTTAACAATGGATCTCACCAATATAAGAAGAAAGATTCACGTAATTCGATGACCATGTTATGTCTTTGTAGGAAATTAGTGGAGCATCATAAACCACGAAGCACGCACTTTATAGGTGTAAGACGTACAGCAAAGGGTTTTAAATTTTTGGTGAATTGTAATGGCAAACGTTATACGCATTCAGGTTTTGCGCACGACATAGATGCTGCATTGGCGAGAACATATTTCATTTGTAGCAAACTTCGTGAACATAAAAAATATATACTTGATCTAACAAACGGGGTTCTAGATGATAGCGGTGGCCTTATCGCGCATCGAGAGCTCGACGATATTTTCAAGGACGATAACATTGAAGCAGTACCGGTAAAACAAAACAAGGATCAATATACGGAGAAGTTTTTGCAGAAATGCAAAGATGGACCCGATTTTTCATGCCCGTCATGTGGAACAATGTGTTTTCAACAAAACGTGGCAAAGGCGAAGCACGGAAATGCGGAACAAATCGTGTGTCAAAGTTGTGCACGTTACATTAGGAAAGGAAAGGATCCGCCATTTTTTACGTTAAATAAAGTAGGCTTTCCGTCTCAACCCGTTGAACTCAAAAACCTTACAACGCTAGAAGAGCGTTTAATAAGTCCGCGCATACCATTTATGAATATACGTTCATTGTCCATTGGAAAACAGTACGGTATACGAGGCGGAGTTATCAACATTCCAGTTGAAGTTAACCAGATGGTATCCTCATTACCGAGGTTGCTCGATGATACACATACCGTTACGGTCAGATTGAAACGCAAGATGGAGTACAAACATAGCGCATTTGAGGAAAACGTGAGGCCTGCTAAAATCTTGAAAGCGATAAACTTCCTTTGTAGACAACAACTTTTTACTGACAACAAAATTGTCTTAAACAAAATTAATTTGAACCGGTTAAGCACTATACACAGCAAACCACGTATGGACAATGCGAATTCAGCCAATGCCGAAAGCGATTCTTCATCAAGAGAGTCAAGTGATAGCAACGATGCGAATAGCGTAAACGTTGGTGTACTCGACACTCTTATTACGCAAGAGCCTTTTTATCAGCATCCATCACAGAGCTTGGTGCAAATGGCACCAGGAGAGCAATCAAAACCATTGTCCATAATATTAGATAAAGATGTCGAAGAATTGAGTTTCCCAACAATCTATGGTGGTAATCATAGAGTGCGTGCAGCAACAGACTTGCATGTATCGTATTCGGATATTGCAAAGTGGGAACTAAAGCATAGAAATGGGCGATGCTCATCAAATATATCCAACATTTTTTTCAAAATGTATAAAAAAGAGATATTACAGGTGCAAAATGTAATTGCCACGCGTGTACGACAAGACAAAATTAGGAATCTAGAAGCATTTACCGCGACAGATATGTTGAACGAAAATAAGCGTTTCACGCTTCAACAAAACGATACCTTATATAATGATTTTAAGGTCATCCGTTCAACACAACAATACAGAGACAATTGCAAGCGCGATCTTTTTGCACTTTTGCGTCAAATCGGTAGGCCAACGTTCTTTATAACCATGTCAATGGCAGATACCCGCTGGGTTGATCTTCATGCGATACTTTTAAGAGTAAATACATTACGTGGGAATCCGTGTAAATTGCCGTCCGGTATAGGCTTACCGTTACAGTATAGTACGATTACCACGTTGGTAAGAAATGACCCTGTGACTTGTGCACGATATTATGCTCATAGAAAGAGATTGCTGTTTTGTTATATGTTGAATAAGAAGTCAGACGTTCTTGATGGAATCGATGACTATTTTGCACTTGACGAATTTCAACATCGTGGCGCGCCGCATACGCATGCCGTTGTTTGGAGTAAAGGTGCGAACGAGATTGGCATCGTTGGAGCGGACGCTATTATAAGGTACGCAGATAAACATATTAGTACGAGCTCTAGAGGCTTACATCCACAATTGCTGTCGTTACAAACACACAAACACTCAAGAACTTGCCAACGATCGAGTTCCTTACGTAAGTGTAGGTTTGGTTTTCCAAGATTTCCGTTACCTTCAACGATGCTTTTACATCCCATTCCTGCTACCCTCTCTGTACGGGAGCGACAAAAATTGGCGAGTGATGCAAGACGCGTTAAGGAGTGGCTCGATGGTGCATCGTCCGGAAGTAATATCACTTTCACTGTCTTTTTGCAAAAGGTTAGTCTTGTTTTCGATGAATATCTGCTTGTTATCCGGTCGTCACTAAAGCGAACAACACTTATTCTACGCCGTCAGGTAAGTGATGTCTACATAAACAATTATAATCCCACCCTTCTCAGAATGTGGAATGGGAATATGGATATTCAGTTGTGCATTGATCCATATAGCGTGGCAGCGTACATTGTATCGTACATGACAAAAGCAAATAAAGGTATGAGTACCATGATGCAAAAGGCTTTAGCATACGCTCGTAATAAAAAATCAGGAATAAAGGGAATTCTTCGTACCATTGGAAACGCTATGTTGAATTCTCAAGAAATAAGCGCACAAGAAGCATGCTATTTGCTACTTGGGTTACAGTATCGCATGTCAACACGACATGTCATTAATACATCACCACATAACGAACGACTACTAACCCTTAAATCTATTAATAAATTGCGCCAATTAGAATCAACGAGCACGGACGTGTATGAACCCTACGCATGCATTCAAAAGTATAAGTTAAGGCCTGAAGCTATGGAACATACGTGCTTGGCCGATTTTATTTCAAAGTATGAATTGGCCCCATACGATTCGAGCAAGCATAAATTACACTTGATTGGTCCTGACTTAACTAAGGAAAAGAGATTCTATTATAAGCGCGGAAAGTCTAAGATAATAAGATTTGTGAATTATCATAAGAATCAGAATTATAACAATTATATTCGACAGAGGGTTTTATTGTTTCATCATTTTCGAGAGGAGCCAATCGACCATGCTGAATGTTCTGATGCATATCACAGATTTGAGCGAGATATTATTGCGAAAGAGCAAGAGTTCACGAAAGAGTTAGATACATGGGCTGATGCATTCAAAGAAGCCGAACAAGCCAACGATGATCGCATATCAATTGAAACACAAGATTCAAATGATATAGTTGACCATATCGATCTTGCAAACGAATTGAATATGCAAGATGTTGTTAAAAAGAGCACTGATTTGTTCAAGCATATCAACGTTGACAGTTCGGAATATATGCTGCTGGAGAAGATATTAAATGCGGAACAACGCGCGATTAGTGATCATGTCGTGCATCACATACGGAAAAGTTATACACCGCTTCGTCTGTTTATATCTGGTGGAGCTGGAGTGGGAAAATCGGTTCTCATTCGAGCTTTGACGGAAAGGATTACACGGATGTTTAATGCAACGATTCATTCTGACCCTACATCTCTCAAAGTGTTGAAATTGGCGCCATCCGGAGTTGCTGCTTTTAACATAAGTGGGTACACTATTCATAACGCTTTAATGATTCCAGTTACGCAAAACCGAACAATATCAAATCTATCATCAGAACGAGTGAACACGCTACGGTCCAATTTATGTGACGTGAAGGTTGTTATAGTCGATGAAGTTTCAATGCTTGGCGAGCACACATTTCGATGGTTGGATTGGCGGCTAAGGGAGTTACGAGGAAAACAACACATCCCATTTGGAGAATTACATGTCATATTTGTAGGAGACTTCTTTCAGTTACCACCGGTAGCCGATAGATACTGTTTTGCAAAGACAAAATCATTGAATACAATGGTTGAAGATAACGTATGGGAGCTTTTCTCAATGGTTGAGTTAACAACTATAATGCGTCAAAAAGATGAGACCGAGTTTGCCGCACGCTTAAACAGATTGCGAGAGGGAAAACACACTAGAGAGGATGTCGATTTCTTCTTATCGTTGAATACGTATGGCGAGCAAAAATTAAGTGTCCAACATATTTTTGGAAGAAACGCAGATATAAACGAATTCAACAATAGAAAGTTTGAGCTAACGCACAACGAGAAGCATATCATACAAGCATACGACTTACATCTATTTGACAAACGTTCCACTCGATGTAAGCGACCATCAGGGAGCGCACCAAAGGATCCGAAAAAAACTGCGGGTCTTTATGCAACCTTAT